CAGAAAAATAAACATTAAAAGTATCTATGAGACAATAGTAACCACACAGTATGTACCTTTAGCTCTGGCTAAAGGGAGAAGTTCACCCAGAGAGCTCGGTGTAGTCTGGAAAGGAACGGCTATGGGTAGAGCCCAGTCAGCTCATACTGTGCCTAGCCTCCTGCCCCAGGATTGTATACCCGCCTCCCAATCTGTCCTTGAGCTTTACTTCCCACTATTCTCTACTTCAGCTGCCTTCTACCCTGCCATAAGCTCACCCTGTCCTCTTCCCAGGCCTTAACTCTACATTTCCCTCCCATTCCCATTGTCAGAATCACAACTGCTGTCCAAATCAAACTCATTCTTTTAGGACAGGCTCAAGTCCCTCCTCCTTCAAGAAAACATCATGAACCATTCCAGCCTCCAGCGTCTCATTCACCTTTGAACTTAAAGAGCCAATGTGCCAATCATTTGGCAAATAAACCTGTGCTACCTTGTGACTGGAGTTGCGTTTTCACTGCATTCAGATCTCATCTGACCAACCACGTTCTTGCGGAAAGAATCTGACAAAGGATCCTGCCTCCTGTGTAATACCACACACAGCCAACTGAGTGTAGTTAAAATTGTAGACTCTCAAGCCCCAGTCCAGAACCTTGGAATCAGTAGAGTAAGTCCCCAACTCATGAATAAGTTCCATTCCAGGAGAACATTTGTAAATCAGATTCATTTGTACTCTGACAAAGAATCTTACACAGCACATCTGTGAATCTTGTACAGTACACTTGTGAGTCTTATGCAGTATTTCTGTCAAAGTTTGCAACTCAAATGTTTGTAAGTCATGGACTTACTGTATTTGCGTGTTAACAAGGTTCCCCAGATGACACATATGCACATGTATTTGCACTAACCATATAATTTCGGGTAAGGTCCACCCTGAGATCTCCTCTGGGTCTGCCTGTCTGGCTTTCCCTGGGCTCCTGAGCGTAGATCCTTAAAGTTATCCTTGTTATGGCGTATATCTAGATGTCCCCCAAAGCCTCTCGAGCTCATGTGTGGTGCCTTTGGGAGGTGACTGGATCATGGCTGTGTGATATTAGTGTGTGGTGAGTTTATAGCTTGGTGTGATGTTGGAGGTAGGAAGAGGTGGGTCACTGTGGTTGTGGCTTCTATCTATCTATCTATCTATCTATCTATCTATCTATCTATCTATCTCCTGCCTTGAGAATACATTGCTTCATGCTGCCATGCCATGAACTGTTTCTCCTCTGCCACGTTGCCCTGCCTTGAAGCCAGCCAAATACATACTGAAATCTCTACAGACTCTGAGCCAAAATAAACTTTCCTCCTTGAACTTGTTAGTGTTGGGTATTTTATCCCAGTAAGGAGAAAGTAACTAAGACAATCTTCTATGACTTAAAATGACTAGAATGACTCTGGTCCCTCCAAACAAAAGGCCTTCTCAGACTCAGACCACCAGGTGTGGGGGGACAGCCACCATTTGGGTTCCCCATCTCTCTCATGCTGCAGCCTCACTCTTTGGTATGATGCCCAAGGATCACTTACCACCTTGTTCATCCATGTTAAGCTTCTCTTCCTTTCTCTCTGTGGGAGCCTTTTATCCCTACTCAGACCGGAACTTCTAGAACTGTATTGTACAAAATGGTAGGCATGAGCCACAAGTGGCTATTGAGCACTGAATTATAGAAAGCCTGAACCGAGATGTGCCATAAAGGGTGAAATACCTCGTGATGAGGGGGAATGTAAAATACTTCATTAATAATTTTTACATTCATTATTATACATTGAAATGATAATCCTTTGGATATATTGGGCTAAGTGAAATATTTTATTAAATTAATTTCAATTGATTTTATAAATCCAGCTACTAGCAAACCTTATAGAGGTGGCTCACATTGTATCTCTATTGGACAGAGCTGTGCTAGAGAGGGCAAGTTCGGTGGATGTCCCTTGCTCTGCATGAAGCGCCAGTGACTTGTCCTTTAGAAGAGACAGGTGTATAGCTGGCTTCAGAGAGCCTTTCCAGGGGCGCAGGTGATGGCTGTTTCCTGCTGTGTAAGGCCTGAGTGTCTGCACAGTCCTGTCTTAAGGCACCTGTTCTCATAAGGGATACTGTGTGTTTCTCAGTCCTGACTGCTAGGGGGAGGAAGACTCCTGTCTTACAAAGCTCCCTCTGCAAGTAGCTCTGAGAATACTAACCCCAGCTCAGGTAAGACCAGGCCACCATCAAATCATATAGTGCCTAAAACTGGTCTCTGATGTAGAAGAGAGTGCTCACAGGCTCACTCACGTTGAAAAAGGCTATAGTCACAAGGCCAATCTTTATCTCTTAAATCAGAAGGTGTAATAGGTCTCGGCCCCATCGAGGAGCCCTGGGTAATCATGACTATGGAGGAACAAGAAAACAGCCTGTTGCTAGACACAGGTGCAAGTCTCTCGGTCCTTCTTTTCAATCCTGGCCTTCCTTCCAGCCATCATACCTCAGTGAAAGGAGTCACTGGTGAGGAGGTAATATGCTATTTTTGACAACCCTTAGGCTGTAACTACTTATTAGGTCCTTCTTGCATATCTCTGTCTTCCTGAGAAACCACTTTGAAGATACCACCACGTATTACAGCAGCCATTGATATTTTCCTACTAATCTATCCATAACTGTAAAGTTTGTAATGTTCCTATCCTATTTCATAAATGGATGTATGTTTATTATTATGTGTTTCCTACAACCATTGAGAATAGTTAATGATTTTTCAATAGGTCACTCATGTATAGCTCTATTTATTTTCTTTAGAAGCCACTTTGAAGATACCAAAGTATAGTACAACAACTCTTGATAATCTCCTACCTCTTTTGTCTCTAACTCACTATTATTTGTCTGTTTGTTTTCCTGAGAAACTATTTTGTAGATAATAATATGTAAAATGATAACCATTGATAATTTCCTACCATTTTGTCTGTAATTTGCTAAGTCCCCCCTATTATTATGTTATCCTTCTTTTATTCTTTAAGATAAAAAAAAAAATAGGTCTCGGCCCAACACAGTGGTATATATCTCAAATCCTAGTTACTTGAGAGGCTGAGATAAGACGATTGCAAGTTCTAGGTCAGCCTGAGCAATCAGCCAGATCTTGACTCAAAACAAAATTTATAAAAGGGATGTGAAAATAGTTCAGGGGTGGAACTTTTGTAGCATGTGTGTGGCCTTGGGTTTGATTCCAGTACCACACACACACACAGACACAGAAACAGACACAAACGAAGGCATAACACATCTGATTCCTGAGCCTGAGTCTCCCCCAATTAAAATTAAAGGTGAGGGGGCAGGGTCTAGAGTCTGAGCCTTCTCTCTTCCTCTATAGCTGCCCTGACACTCTGGCTTTCCCTTCCCATGACCCACTAAAAATACTCCCACATGGCTGAGACATCAGATCCCATTTCAGTGGGAGTTGAAAAGGGGCTTTCATATCATTTAGGTTTTACACACCTCCCCTATAACCCTCACACACCACACTCTTCCCTTCAGATGGATCACATAAAATAAGGGCTGATTCGGGCTACAGGGAACGTGGAATTCACAACCTTTAACTGCAGAAACTGGAGTTCCAGAAGTTTAAAGCCACATATCTGATTGGCCAAAGTTGGGATCAGGACTTTGGACCTTGACTGACAACACAGTGCTCTCTCCTCCATTTCCCCAGCTCCAAACAGGAAATGAGAAAAGGGGGCAGGAAATTTGTTGGTGGGCCTCAACGCAACTTTGAGTATGGAAAAGCAAATGACACTGGGGGCAGCACAGCATCTGACTGACAGTGAGGAGGTCGATTCCGAGGCTCTGACTAGGGCCCACTTCCCATCTGGAATGGGCCGGCCAGAGGCACCTGAAGGTCATTAAAATAAGCGAGTTAAAAAAAAAAAAATAAGCGAGTTACTTGGTTAAAGAATTTAGGGAAAGCATCCAAACTATGCATACTCTGCTGAGGGGAAAATAGGGAAAACAGGGCAAAGAATGATCACTACCCGGGTGCACCTCACTCCTTTCTGGAACCTTCCCTGGTGACCGTAACCCTCCACCCACAGACTCCCTGGAAACCAGGCTGGGAGCATGGCCTCCTGGACATGGGAAGAGTGATCTGACCCCCTGGTTTATAAGTGCATAGAAAGGTGGAAGGAACCCTGTCTTACTTCCCAGGGACTGGCAGGCCCCCATGTCCAGTGGAGCAGGTTTGGCATGGCAGGGCAAAAGCCAGTTCTAGTCACTGCCAAATGTTTCTCCTAGATGTTTTAAAGTTATTAGGATTTTTAAGTACAGAGGAAGAAGAAATGGCAAAATGACAAATCAGTGTAAACACATCGGTGGTTACCTCCTGCATGTTGTTTGGAGTTATACAATATTTTTGAAACAGGCACATATTACTTCATTACGACACTGATGATGGTGCTAAATGTTGCTCATTCATTCCCAAAATTCCCCAAATACTCAGAAGGGACCCAGGCAGGGGGTGCTCCATGTGCTGGGGATCAGCAGTGGACAGGACAGAGACACCCCTCAGTGCTTCCATGCCAGGGTGGGGGTGAGGGGGAACACAGCCAGAGAGCAGGAAGTCCTGCAAGAAAACCCGCAGGGGCAGGACAAGAGGCTGGGGACAGGGTAGTCAACAAAAGATTCTCCCGAGGGACACAGGAGCAGAGACCAGAAGGACACCGAGGGCATGTCAGGCAAAGGAATGTGGGAGGTTCGCTGGTCAGGAGGGGCGGGAGACAGTTTGGGCCACGTCCTGCAGGGCTGGGAAAGGCCATGCAAGGGGTCTGGTCTCAGCTCCAGTGTGGGGGAAGCCAGAGGAAGGCTTGAGCAGGTAAATGAGTGCTTCCTGTGTAACTAATAGAGTTGCTTGCTTAGATGTCCTCCTTGGTCTCCTAGGAACTATCCCTCTAAGAGAACTGAAGCGGGGGCAGCAGGCCTGGGGCTGACAGCCCAGCCCCCTAAACCCCTGCCTCCTGGGACTCACCTTCCACTGTCAGCTCCACTGTCAGCTGGCGGGCACCACTGCCATTGCTGGCTTCACAGGTGTACTTTCCCTGGTCCTCCCCACAGACAGCACAAATGATAAGGCTGAAAGTCCCCCGGACACCGCAGTCCAGCAGGAAGCGGCCTCCACTGGAAATGGGTTGCCCATTTCTGTGCCATGTCACCTGGGGCTCTGGGTAACCTCGGACCTTCAGAAAAAAAAAAAGAAAGGGCAAGGGTTATAATTCATAATTACTCCCTCTGTGCCAGATGCAGTTCTGAATGCCTGACGTGTGTTAATTAAAGTCATTTAAGCTTCATAACAACCTTCCAAGCAGACACAACTTCCTCTCCATTTTACAGTTAAGGAATTATTATTATGGCACTGGAGACTGAACCCAGGGCCTTTGCACTGAGGTACATCTCCATCCCTTCCTCGTTTTTATTTTGAGACAAGGTCTTGCTAAGTTTCCAGGTGGAGTTCAAACTTGTGATTCTCAAACTTTCGATCTTCCTGCCTCAGCCTCCCAGAGTGCTGGGATTGCCACTTTGTCTGACTAGAACAAATTTATTTGAGATACAAAATAATGATAGTAACAGCTTTCACCCAGGTACCCACTCCAAGACAAGAAGATGGATGTGGAAGAAGCAAAGCCAAAATTTGCTGCATGATCCCAAAGAAAGCAGTGACCTCGCTCTATGTCATCTTTGTCTTCTTTTTGCAGTGTTGGGGACTGAATTCAGTCAGGGCCTTGCACATACTAGGCAAAGGCTCTACCACTAAGCTATACTGAAAACCCTGCAGTTCTCTTTGTATTGTGCTAGGTCCCCATCTCAGCTTGTCTGCTTCCATTCTATCCTCAGACCCGATTTACAGCAGCCAGGATAAAGATTCTTCCTAAGGAAGGAAAACCTCCAATCACAATCCCTCTGGCTAGCCCATAAGTCAGCCTTTCTGTGCCAGTTCACAATCTTACATGACTTGCCTCTCTGTCCCCACTGATTTGCAACCAGTCCTAAGTGAAAAAAGCAACAAAAAATGGAAGTTCAATCAATATTACCCATCTTACCCATAATTTCTAGAGACAAACAAGGAATCCTGCTCCTATAAAAATCTAAACTAATGACTGAGATAGAGTACCTGTGAGGAGATGCTTAGGTACTGAACTGAAGTCTATTTTCTAAAAAGCCAGAAGCTACTGTGGTTCTAGTGAAGCAAGCTTCCCACAGACCAACCTGGGTGGTTACAGTCTTCCAGCCATTACAGTACAAAAGAAGTCTGAGCAGCGGTTGTCTGGATTGCTAAGACTACAAGTTGTCTTAAAATTTTAAAAATGCACACCTGCCTTTTTACCAAAATGATGTAGAAAGCAAAGAAGGAATCTTTTTCCCCTCCCAAAGCTGAAGCTGAAGTGAAACCATGGACAGCAAGAAGGAGCTACTGTCAGGCATCCACAGCCACAGATCCACAGGTCACCCACCTTCCGGTGGTCTGAGACGCCTTAGCTCTGGAGGCAGCCCCAGTACGCTGAGAAGACCACACCGCAGAGAAAGAAGCTAGGATACCACCTCATCATTAAGGTGCCCCAGCCACTGAGTCGAGCAGAACCAAGACAAGACAACAACAAACTTATATTCATTGTGGATGTCAAGGCCAAAAAGCAGCAGATTGGACAGGCTATGAAGAAGCTCTATGACACTGATATGGCCTGGTGGAGAGAAAGCAAATGTTGGACTGCTCCCAATCGTGGTACTTTGGACGTTGCGCCAAAATTGGACCATCTAAACTGAACCCAGGTGGTTCATTCTAAATATACATGTTTTTCACCATAAAAAGCACTTCTTTTATAATTGGGTATCTGTATGATGAACATATAGCACATTCATTATTATTATTATTTTTTTTGGTACTGGCAATTGAACTCATGACCTCAAGCTCGCCAGGGCGGCACTGTGCCACTGAGCTATATCCCCAGCCCCATTAATTTGTTGAGACTCTCGCAGTATTTGAATCTACCATAGCAGTAAAAGAGCTACACAAATAAGCAGGATGTACACTGGAGGGTGGCACATGTTATACACGCATAATCATTACCTTGTGGCTTTACCCTAGTACAAAGCTTCATGCAAACAACACACAACTATCCTGTTCAAGCATTCTTCTTTGTATTTTCAGAAGATGCCTAGGGAAACTCTTCCTGAAGCCTTTCGAGGCTGGTCATGTAATGACTTTGCAAATTATCCTTATCTTCTTTAGCACCCTATTAGGCTGGGTTGGCCCATTCTCCCAAAGACATCACAGGTCCCTGTTTACTTCACAGAGAAAGGGCGGGGATGAATCATTAACAGCACCAGGGCGTCCCAGCATTCCAGCAGCAAGCATGCTGGCCCCCTGCAGCAGGCCAGCTCCTGTGAGAGGCAGCAATGATTAACTGGGGACATTGTGAGCGTTCCAGACCTCAGGGACAGGATTCCTTGATCATTTCTCCTTATTGTCTATACATGCCCCAAAGTTATCTCTAAAATGTGTTAAATTAAATATCCAAAGATTTTTTAAAAATATGCTGAAAGTGGTATCACTTAAGACAGTGGCAATTTGTGAATGATCTTTTATAGTCCTTGGATATGAAGCAAAGGTGGGAATTTCTACAGTCTTGCTCTGTTCCAACATCTGAATGATTGGCAACATCAATACTTATCCTCCAGTATTTGAAAAATTTGTGCAAGCATTATTTAACATTACCTGAAAATGGTTGGACTCCAAGTACACCTGTTTTACTGTCTGTGCGTCTGCTGGGTGGGGAAGGCAGGGAAGTCTTGACAGTAGTCTTTCCCTGGAGTGCCTTATCTGCCATTATCATTTCAGTTAAGAAGCCACAGCTGAGATTTTCACAGTCAGGATCCTTGCCAAGGGAGCAGTAAAGCCACTGATACTTCAGTTTTCAGAGAGCCTCCATGTACAGCATCTTACCCAACTCTTCTAACTCTATGAGAAAGGGGTCTTGTTTAGGCTACCCACAAACAGAACCTGAGAACTCTGAGGGCTTCAGAGACCCTACTTGTGTACCTTGCCAGTCCCTAGGGCAGCCGGGAGAAGCCTGGTCAGAGGAGCCTGGGTGTGGCACCAGCAGTGTCCATGACAGCACAGAAAGTGAAGCATACTGTAGACTACAGAGCGAGAAGAGAATGGAGGAGTCACAGTTCGCTAGTGATCTCATGTGGTGGGTTAAGTGGCACATTTAGGACCATAATTTTGCCTCCAAACTGAAAGTTGTCTCCAACCCTCATTATAAATTGCCATTTTGGGTGAGACAAGTTCTGTAGAACCCAAAGCAGTGAAGAATGTCTAATTCTAGCAGATCCTAAATTTTTCAGAGGCTAAAGCAATTATCTGCTTCTCACTTTTGGGAAATATCGAAGCATTTACAAAAGATATGGTCACACCACGAGCGAGTCTTGGGTTGTACTCTCAGATTCACAGGACAAGATTGGGGTCACATGTATGCCCACTCTGGCTACCCTGAGTTAGAGAAGCACAGAAAAGTCAGGAGGAGAGCCAGGGCCTGGGTGCCCCGGCCTGGCCTGGGTGCTCGGGCCTGGCCTGGCTTCAAAGACTCTGGATTTTAATTCCTTCTTTCCTTGAAGAGAAAATTGCTCTTGCTATCCAAGTTTCCTTTCATCTCTGAAGTCTTATGGTTTTAAGTGGTGACCCAGTTACATCTTGGGGAAGATTACTTCTTTCCCCACCATTCTCCTCTGGCCCAGCCCACAGCCTTCATACCCTCTAATCCTCCATACAGGAAGACCAGTGGCCACCGGAGGAATGCCCATGAACATGAATAGACAGCCCTGAGTTTTCACCATAATGACTTTTTGGAACCGGCCCTAGAGAGGGTCATTCTGAGGAGAATCATGTTTTTGCCACAGTAACCACATTTTAAATGGAGGTTGTGTTTTTAAACAAAAGCTCAGTATCAAATAAATCAAGGGCATAACCAACAACTTGTCATAAAAATAAAGATACAGTAGTCATAAACCCTATAATAATTTTAAATAGTAAAACTGTGTTCCAGCTTCATTAAATGTCCTCCAAAACCTTTATGGCCTCAAAAGGCCTTTAATAGGCATGGGGCTCACTCCATGTGCACGAATGGCTGCGGGGGCGGGAGCTCTGGGTAGGAGTGGTGAGGCTACTGCATTATCCCTACCTGGCTCACAGGAGGAACACTTTCCAGAACCTGGGCATGTCTTGAGATTTACTCAGTGACTCCAAAGGAACCATTCTCAGAGGCCCTGAGGCTTCATTTTTTTCTCTGACATGCCATGAGCTTTCAGCCATTACTCTTGACCCAGAACAGACCACCTCACCCTGACTCACAGTTGTGACAAGGTCTCTGCCTTCCCCAAGACTCCAAGCCACACAGCCTTCCTTCTCTGAGCTTAGTGAGTAGCAGAAAGGGGGTGATTCTGCTGGTTTTCAAGATTCCCTTGTGCCTTCATTTCCTGCAGGGCTGGTCCTGGGCACATGCTACCTACCCATACAGCTGCAGGGCACAGCTGTGGCGGCCCAACTGTTAGCTAGGCCTGGGGAAGGAGGAGGAACTGAGGCTGTGCCCATGTTGGGGATGGAGACCAGGAGAGCAGCCAGGATTGAGCAAAAGCCAGGAAGAAACAGCCTGGCAGGATGCTGGGGACAAGAAAGACAACCCAGAAGATGTAGCCCATGCTGAGGAATATTAGGGCTGAGAACAATAACCCAGAGTGGGTTGTTATTGCTTATATCTAGAGGTACCCCAAAAGCCTCATGCAGTTATAGGTAGGGCTTTTCAGAGGTGGCTGGATCGAGAGTGTGATTCTGGGATTGATTCATGGTGTGATGCTAGGATTAAGGGTGCCGCACTCTGGATGTGAGTGGTATCTACCCTCAGTGTAGGAAGCCTAGATAGACTATAAGGGATAGAAAGAGGGCTGCTGTTGCTGCTGCTTGCTGCTTCTTTGCTACTTTGCTGCCTTCTGCCTGCCATGAAGTATTTCTTCTTTGTGATGCACCTCTGCTATGCCACCCTGCCTTGGAGCCAGCCAACTATGAACTGAAACCTCTATTAAACTGTGAGCTAAATGAACCTTTCTCTTTTAACTTTAGGTAATGGGTATTTTGTCTCAGCAATGAAAAAAGCAACTAAGTCAAGGGTGTTGGGAAGTATGTATT